TATATATATATATATATATATATATATATATATATATATATATATATATATATATATATATATATATATATATATATATATATATATATATATATCCTCAGATCTTCTAAATCTACTGTAGCAACTACTCATATTAACGGGCATAAGTTTTTAATTTTCTATTTGGATATGATCTCCTAGGCTATGTTGATGATTCTCTCCAGTATCCACATGCAATAGTCAACATCCCAAGAGAACCTAATCCAGTATCAAATCCAGCCCACAAATTGTGGTTACGATAAGATCGCCTCATCCTCCAAGCAATTCAAGCCTTAGCTGCTGGATCTGTTTTTTCACTGATATCTTCATGTACGACTGCTGCAGAAGCATGGTATAAGTTGCAAACCACCTTGGCAAATCGCTCGCGTACTTGCATGCTCGGCCTTCTCTCCAATCGGATGAAAACGAAACAAGAGGGAAGTACTATTGCTGATTATTTACATAATATCAAAGTTATCATTGATGACTTGGCTTTGATAGATCATTCCCTTAGTGATGAAGAAGTTCTAATCCATACCCTCAATGACCTAGGAGGCGAGTACAAAGAACTAATAACAACACTTCGGGCACGCGACTTACCAATATCATTCGAAGAATTTTATGACAAGTTGACAAACTATGAGATATACTTGAAGCATGATGATAGGTTGCTTGGACTACATATTACAGCTCAGGTCAGTTAAAACTTCAAGAGGAAGAACAACCAGTACACTTTGAGATACTCATCATGAAAGAGCTTTCAACACAAAATTTATAATTAATTTGGACTTTTAATCTGAAAGGTTTCATATATTCCATGAAAAATGACTAAATTTGATAAACCACATGTCTACATGTGTTTGTGTTGAAAAAAAAAAAAGTGTAATAAGTTAGTGACTTAAGACTACTATATATGTATTTTATGTATATGCATCATCATCCGTAAATGATGAATTGAAACAAGTGTCGATAAGCATAGCCAAAGAACTCAACATTTTAAGATACTAATGCTATCTAATATTGAAAATGAATATATTCGAGAAAGAATAGTACTAAAAGGCATTCATTGGATTTTACATGTGTATAATACATAGAGTTAAAAATAATTTGTAACAAGCCAACGACTTTGCGATACTATTTATATATGCATCATTACCTGTAAACTAAACTACAGACTCAGTAATACCAAGGCTACCTAATCTAGCAATTCGATTGTAATCTATGTATAAGCATTTGGATGGTGGCCACGCATCCTTCATCTCACTGATCATTGTCATCTCTCGGGTGCTCATATTATAACAAACCAGTATTCTTTTCCATAGAGAATTCGATAACATCTCTATATAAATCCTATCTCCTCCTGTGAACGGGAGGGGTTCGAATAGGTTGAATTCGGATGATACTGTGGGTACCTTCTCCAAGTAAAATTTCTTGATCCAGTCTCCATCCTTTCCCATCATCCATATTGTTATTGTATCATTTTTCGAGAATCGAGTGCTTGTCAAAACTCCATCATCTGTCACCCCAAGCACATGTTGGGACCCCGAATTTTCAGCCTGTGGTAGGAGTGTGTAACCTCCGACATCCTCATCCACGTCAAACCACAGTGCATAGGGATTGCAATTCCAATATATGATTCGTCCTGCACAAAAAATATCCCACGATATTCTTTTGCCTCGGGGGATCATAATCTTGTGATTAGACATAGTCCACTTCCTAGTGCGAGAAGAGTAAATCTCAAAGGAGAACTCTTCTTGGAGCCCTTTTTGTTGTTGTACAAGATTTACTAGTCGATAACAAGCTGGAGTGATCGAAGGATCAAAAGCAAGTCCAACAAACCAACCACGATGATCATTTTCAGGGATGATATGGCCTTCTTTCGTCACAAAATTCCACACGTAATGGAATTCGCAAATCGCATCTTGATAATTAGTAGAGCACATACTATCATTTTGCTCATCTCTTTTTCTTTGCACGAATAGCAAGAGGAGGCCATTGACAGCGGCAGTAATCCTTATGCGCTCTGTGCCATCGGGAAGGGAGAAAAAGGATGAGCTGGTGATGCATACGTTGAGCTCCCCGGGGGTGTCGATGGGGATGAAGTTGATGCTATGTTTGTATTGGTAAACACATCCGAAGGAGATGGGAGACCCATGGCACGACTGCTCATGCGCAAATATGACGTCGTGCGAGATGAGGTGATGCCACTTCTTGCAGATACACTTGAATCTAGAGAGAGACTTGTAGGGGAGTCGTGGGAGGATTTTATAGTCGACAACATCACTGGGGATCATTGCCACAATAACATCATCACGATCGCTAGCCATGCTTCTTTTCAAAGGCAATGAAATGGCATACGAGAATCTTGAATTTTTAATGATATTTACACAAACAAAGATTACAAAATTGGGAAAGTTCACAAAATTTTGACTATCAAGAATAAATGTAAAGCATACATTCCAATAATACCGTGTTACTATGATTGAGAGAATTTTTCTTTATAATATCCTCTCTTTCTTAATATCGAATTTGCTCTGCAAGTTATTGCTCTCATCGATCTTGGACTGAAGTAGAAAAAATCATTGGGAAGAAAAATGATTAGAAAGGAAGGGACTTAGCAAATGAGGGTAACTTGGACATCAAGAAAGTGGGGATAACAAAAATTTTATGAATAATTGGGACCTTTAGATTGAAAGGTCGACTATTTATCATGAAAAACGAATAAATTCTATAAACGACAAGAACTAATATCTTAATATCTTCATTCCTAATATCTTTTTCTTTTACCACCAAACATACACACAAAAATAAATGCCACAGAAATAGGCAAAACATGATCAAGAAACAATAAAAAATGTTTTTTTTAATTTTTTATTATTAAAGGTGGGTTTACATGGAGAAGAGATGGTAGTCGGCCAAAGTAGGCTTCCTGAGTTTAAGCTGCATTCTTATTATGTTGGTTAATAAGCAGAAAAAAATATGGTCGAGGAAACAAAATATATTCACATTTCTGCACGTAATTTTGATCTGCAGAAACTTATGCTTAGTTGAAGTATAATAGTTTAATCATCATCATCATTCAAGAATTAGAAGAGAGGAGGAATTGAAGTATTGGTTTTCATGCACCGCACCAAAGATGACTATAAATACAATGCATTTTAATATCTTCAATTGGTCGACACAAGTAATCGATTCTTTTGTTAACCAATCGATGATGAATTGTTCTTCCGTGGAAAAAGAATAAGGATTCATATAATAATTATTATTATTATGAAACAATAATTTGGTAGTTTAGATAGTATTACTCTTGTAAATGATGATAGAATAAGAAAATTTGGCATAGATGGGTAAGTCATTTAAATTTCATATATCTTATCTGATAGATAGAGTTTGGTTCTTTAAACATTCTTATAAACCTACATATGAAGAGATGAGATCAATGGAAGGGGTATTTTCTTTTCACCTTCGCTTCTTCTCGTTTAACCAAAATTTGGGGTCGAATGAGTTGTTCTATGGTGGGTGTACACAAATTTTGATTCATTCTATTATTTCCTTTATAAAAATGTCTTCTGGATTCCTTTTCCTCCAATAATATTTGTTTTAGAAATCCTAAAATACTTATTAATCTAAACACAATGTCCAAATATTTATCTATCTCAAGTTCCTTTCAAGCTTGTATTTTCAACTTGATTTGTTTGTTCATTCAATGTTTTTGCTAAACAACATCTTCTCCACCTTATTTTTCATAAGGTGAAATTGTTTCTTTCACCAAACTTTTCTATAGAAACAACCACTGACATCTTTGTTGAATCTCTAATCACTTTTGGGACTTTGGGCTCTAACACAACAAAGGACACTCCACTCCACTCCAAAGATCAGCAATTAAATACAAGTTCTTACCTAAAACCTTCAATTCAACCACTGATATCAACACTCGTTAACTGTATCAAAGGAATAAATCAAGTCAAAATATAAGCACATGAGTTAAAGAAGTCAATATTTTGATATACTAATGCTGTCTAATATGGAAAAATGAATACATTTGAGAAAGAACAAGTCTAATACTAAAGAAAAAGAGTCAAAAATAATTTGTAACAAGTCAATGACGTTCCAATACTGTAAACTAAATTACAGACTCAAACAAGTGTAGATTAAGCCTGGACAAGAAACTCAACATTCTGTAACACCAAGGCTACCTAATCTAGCAATACGATTGTAATCTATGTATAAGCATTTGGATGGTGGCCAGACATCCTTCATCTCACCGATCATCGTCATCTCTCGGGTGTTGATATTATAACAAACCAATATTCTTTTACTCATGCAATACGATAACATCTCCATATAAATCCTATCACCTCCCGTGAATGGGAGGGGTATGAATAGCTTGAATTCGGATGATACTGTGGGCACATTCTCCAAGGAAACTTTCTTGACCCAATCTCCATCCTCGCTCATCATCCATACTGTTATTGCACTGTGTTGCAACATATGAGTGCTCGTCAAAATTCCATCATTCGTCGCCCCAAGCACATGTCGGGACCCCCCCAAAGCTTCGAGCTGCGGTAGCAGTGTGTAACCTGCAACATCCTTCTCCACGTCAAACCACAGTACGTAGGGATTGCTAGCCCAATATATGATTCGTCCTGCACAAAATATATTCCACAATGTTCTTGTGCCTTTAGGGATGACAAACTTGTGATCGGACATAGTCCACTTCCTAGTGCGAGAGGAGTAAACATCAAAAGAGAACTCTTCTCGGAGCCCTTTTCGTCGTTGTACGAGATTTACTAGTTTGTAACAAGCTGGAGTGATCCAAGGATCAAAGGCAAGTCCGACAAACCAGCAATGACGATCGGTTTTCGGGATGACATGGCCTTCTTTGGTTACTAAATTCCACACATAATGGAATTTGCCGATCGCATCCGGATAATTGATAGAGCACATACTATCATTTTGCTCGTCACTTTTTCTTTGCAAAAATAGCAAGAGGAGGCCATCGACGACGGCAGTAATCCTTATGCACTCTGCGCCGATGGGAAGGGAGAAAAAGGATGAGTTCGTGATGCACACGTTGAGCTCCCCGGGGATGTCGATGGGGATGAAGTCGATGCTTTGTTTGTGTTGGTAAACGTAGCCGAAGGAGATGGGTGACCCATGGCGTGACTGCTCATGCGCAAATACGATGTCGTGTGAGATGAGGTGATGCCACTTCTTGCAGATACACTTGAATCTAGAAAGAGACTTGTAGGGGAGTCGTGGGAGGATTTTATAGTCGACAACATCACTGGGGATCCTTGCCACGATAACATCATCGCGATCGCTAGCCATGCTTCTTTTGAAAGGCGATGAAATGACATACGAGAATCTTGAATTTTTAATGATATATATACAAACAAAGATTACAAAATGGGAAAGTTCACAAAATTTTGACTATCAAGAATAAATGTAAAATATACATTCCAATAATACTGCGTTACTATGATTGAGAGAATTATTCTTTATAGCATCCTCTCTTTCTTAATATCTTCATTGCGAATTTGATCCGTAAGTTATTGCTCCCGTCGATAATGTCGATCTTGGACTGAAGTAAAAGAAATCATTGGAAAGAAAAATGATGTGAATGGAAGGGACTTAGCAAATGAGGGTAACTTGGACATCAAGAAAGTGGGGATAACAAAAATTTTATGAATAATTGAGACTTTTACATTGAAATGTCGACTATTTATCATGAAAAATGAATAAATTCTATAAACGACAATAACTAACACCTTCATTCCTAATAGCCTTTTCTACTACGAGACACAGGGAATGAGGAATGGGCGTTGATTCGAACCGGGTCCATAATCGGATCGGGTCTACTTAGATCCTACCCGAGAAGTCCACTAAGGATAAGATGAGCCGTGTACTATGAAGCGCTTTCTCCCCCTCTCTTCCTCTCGTCTCCTCGCAAACACAACGAAAACGTGATGGCTTCGACGACGTCGCTTTTCCTTTCCTTCTCTTCTCTCTCCAACCGACCCAAAATTGCGCAACTCCGAACCCTAATCCCATCGCTGAGAAATCCAAGCCTCCATCCTCCAAGACTGAAGGCGTTCAGCCGAAGATGGCGCTCCTTGACGATCTCCGCAGCTCTCCCTCCTCTCGATCTGACGGAGGAGAACATCCGGCAGGTCCTAATTGACGCCAGGTCGGAGGCAAGTGGCGCTTTCTTTTAGTAATCTAAAGCAGGAAGAAAGAAAAATCATTTCTTTTTAGGTTTTTGCAGATTGTTTATGTGTTGCTAATGCCGAATTTCTTTAACTGATGGATCAAATTGTTCCTTTTTTATAGAAATCCAAAGCAAAATATATCACATTTTGAAAATCTGGACCGGATTTATTTAAGGAAATGAGAATTCCTGAGAGATGATTATTTTCGTGTATTACTGAGTTGAGCGTGACTCACGTAGTGATGCGTCGCTTAGAGAATGCTGGTAGTCTTGGTCTTTGGCAGGGGAAATCTTCTTCGCCAATAGCAGCTCGACACATGGCAGTACAGTCAACGGTGAGGAGCAGGATCTGCCGAATGATCGGGCCAAATGGACCTTAGTCCAAAAAGATGGTTAGGGAATGTTCCGTCCCAGAACATTCTGCGAAATATTCCTCATTTTAACCCACTATACAAAGCTGCCTTTGACACAGTAATCAAGATTAATTTTTTTTTACTGAATTGAAGCATATACGTTTGATTTAAGCATGGATATATATACGTTTGATTACTGCAAAATATGATTACTGCGAAATATATACGTTTGATTTAAGCATCGGATAGATCGGGTTGGAAAATCCATTTGGCCTTAATCTTCATTTAGGTCATCCTCGGAGTGCATACCCGAGTCTTCCTCAACCTCCCAAGGAATGCTTGAGGCACCACGGTGGCCACCTCATCCATCTTGTTATAGTAGCCACTGGCCCCCTTGCACAGTCGGAAGCAAGCAAGGAATAACTTACAGATCATGGTTATGCTGGCATGGCAGTTCGATCTTTATTTGACTCACTCCTTTTACTTGACTCAGTCCAAAAAGGCGACAAGGGAATGTTTCATCCAAGAACATTTCATGGAATATTCCTCCTTTTTAACCTACTATAAAAAGCTACCTTTGGCACAATAATAGGGGTCAGTTATTCTTTACTAAATTTACTCTAGTCTCGTTGAGACTGACTTGAGTGTTAGAGAGATTGGATCGAGAAATCCATCTAGCTTCGATCTTCGTGCAGATCATCCTTGGAGCATACACCCGAGTCTTCCTTAGCCTCCCAAGGAGTGCTTAAGGCACCTCATCCCTCTCGTGCATATGGGCCTGAACCGCATCGAGTTGATTAAGACGTCACTGACTTTTTCCCTAACAATCTTTTCATGGTATTTTGTCATGTTAGATATAATTTGGATTTCTCAGTGAATTTGTTTTGACATGACAAGTGACAAATTCAAACGTATATATACTAACATTTTTCTTGTTTTAACATGATTCAGTTTGCACAGCTCTTTGACACATCAGTTGGCATAACAGGTGAGCTAAATAATTGAAAGTTAAGTGTATTCTGTTGGTGTTCTTTATATATAGTTGGAGTGACTCTTAAATGTATATCAGGTCAGGTGGATCTTGCTGAACTGGATGGTCCTTTTGTGAAGATTAGACTGAAGGGTCGATTTTGGCACATGCGAAACACAGTTTTAGAACGGATCAGTAATTATCTTAAGAATCGAATCCCCGTAAGTTACCTTATAATTTATGTGTCCATCTGGCAGCTATATATTTTTCTTTGAACCAGATATTAAAATGACAACGACTCATGATTGGTTCTAATAGGAAATTCTTGAGGTGGATATTGAAGATGAGAAACAGTTAGATGACAGCCCAGAAAACTTTTGAGGTACTTACTCTTTTTGACAACTCTCATCATATCTACAAACAGTTTAGTCTGTCCGGTTGGGAATAAATTAGTAACTATAATGGTATAAATCCCCGCTATCACTCCAAAGACAACAGAAAACCCATCTGGCATTGCATTGGTCAACAAATTGATCAACACTGCAGAACTTGATAAATCTCACTTTTTAGGAGATACCAGTAGACATTTAGACATAGTTTGTTCCATTAAAAGTGAAAATTAGTTTGTAGCTTTTACTACGAAAGAAAGTCGAGTACCCAGAAGATCCAGTTCCAATGAGTTTGGTTATTGGTGGTATAACGGAAACAAATTGGACTCCATTTGTTGTATTGGTTTAGGTGGACCTGAATTGCATGTAATTTATCAGATTAAATACATAGGTTAGCTCGGATCTAGAATCCTCTGGTTGAATTGGGTTATGTAAGGAAAAGTTTGATTGATTTAAACGTGTGAAACCAAATTATCTTAAGTAGTTAAGTTGTCTTTGAAAAAGATCATATCGATACAATAAACATGCATCCTTAGTTGGAGTTATTTAGTTAATTCTTGAAAGTGGGTTCTTTTGGAACTTATGTCGTAACACAGCCCCATATCCAGAGTGCCAACACTTGTTTTGCCCACTTGTAATCAAAGTGCTGTTTGGGCAACCCACTGCCAGCAAAGCAAATTGCCTGTGTTAGAATTTTTCCAGTTATCATCAAGAATTTAAATCCTCACTAATTATACTTTTCCATCCCTTGACCGATACTTACACTGTGATTGCAGAGACAGTAGTTGATTGTTTGTATTAGAATTATAATTTGATAGTTTTGATTGAACCTGCCACGAGATTGACTCTTGAAATCTTTTATCGAACTCTCTTTTTGAAGTCAGTCTGAGCTTATGTTTCTCACACCACATGGTTTGTTCCTTGTTGCTATTATGTTCTCATTTTAAGACTAATTCTTACTTCTTATTCAATTTATTACTTCTCTCATTTGATATGGAGTGGATCATTCAACTTTCGCTGCAGTTGATCATTGGTGGAGAAACTTATGAACACCTGGTACATAATCAGCTTAACGAGACGCATGGTGTTCAAGTCCGTGAATACCAGTAATATCCACTTTTATATGTCTGAGATCCACATCTATTAACTGAGCGATCAACTCTTCGACACGCAGCTCTACAATGTTAGGACATCCTCTTGGAGTGTAAACAGTTCCTTGAGGCTGCAAATGTTTGCGATGTTGAGGTGTGTTGTATAGAATTGTGATTCAAGTATCCGAATCCATGTGTAAATGATGTTTTCTTTTGTTCATCAAACCTTTGATTCAGACTTTTGTTTCTAGTGATACGCTGGTGATGTAGGAATTGTTTTGCTCCATCAGTGAAGTAGAATGTTGAAGATATCCCACGATTTTGTTTAGTCGAAGTACAGTGTCCAATGTGCTCTGTTTTCTTGGAATGAAGTCTTCATAACGTGGAAATTGAAGTATGAAGACCGCTGGTGAGTTTACCAGACATAAGCTGCATGAAAAGAGGACTTCCAATATTATTCGAACTGAACTATTTATCCTCAACTACGGTGAGCAGATATCGGGGTCCGAATATTCGGGAGTGGGTTTACCGTACATCGGTCGAAGAATAAGGTGCTTTCTCGACTTTGGAGAACGTTGATATCCGGGTGCCATGTTCTCACCGGCGGTGATCAGAACCCAAACTTGTTACCGGCCCATACTGGACGAGGCCCACTCATTCGGGCTCGAGTTGGTGTTGTGAGGGTCCCGATATCGAAGCCCTCTGTTCCATCTCCTTCCTCTCTCTAAACCCAAACTGGGAATCGCATCTCCCATGTCGGTAACGATGCAGGCGGTGTCGTATGGGTTGCTACGAGACGATGCTGCGCACCTAACATATCTGTCCCGTATCACGTTGATCGTGATCGAGAAGATGATGCAGCGAATCCAACGGATACGATGAAAAAGAAACTTAGGTCTCAATGCCTTGGGTCTCCTCGGCATCATCAGAAACTTCAATAGTTGCAGTTGGAGTCACTCCACCCACCAAATTGGGGACCTTCGTGATGACCATGTCTCGGTGCTCCATTGACCTCAGTTCACCCGCTTTTAAAGCATCATCTCCCAAAAGTTAATAGCACATGGTGTGAACAACATGATCTGACTCTAGCCATAACGCATCACTAATGCGATCAAATTCAATCATGATGTGCCTCTTGATCATGATATGATCGATTCTAACCACAAAGCATCTCTTAGTAGCATGACCGAATTCGATTACGAAGCATCCCCGACCATAATGCAATAGAATTTGGCCATAAAGTATTACTCAACAACAATACAATCGAATCTAATTATGAAAAACCTCCCTCGATCATAATGCAATCACTTTCGACCTTGAAATATCACTCGATAATGATGCGATCGAATATGACCTTAAAGTATCCCTAAACCATGATGGTTAACCAAATGTGACCATGAGGCATCACTCGACATGATACGATCAAATCCGACCATGATGCAACTAACTCTAGCCATGAAGCATCGCACATAAACAACATAGTAAGTCTACCATAAAGCATCTACCAAACGATCAAAAGTCAACATATCCATATACACAATGGATGACATGGCCAGGTAGCCTACCAAATAAGGCATTATGTGCCTAATGAGGAGGTTGATAATACTAGAGTTCTAACAAATAACAATATAATGATATATCATACATGTTAATTACATATTCTCGGTAAGCTAATCACGTGAATTGATGGCACGTGTGACACACTACAAAATCTTTTTAGTTATTATTATTATTATATTTTTTTACTTTATATTATGTAATAAATATATATTATGATGTCTTTGGATCTGTGAATGAGAATTAAATTATGACGAGATCATGATAATGAGACCAATACACCCATAAATATAAATCCTAAAGATTCTTAGTCATAGATGCCTTACAAGCTAATTACGTAAATGATGACACGTGTGACGTGCTGCACAATCTCTTCACTTATTATTATTAGTATTTTTTTCACTTTATGTTACATGTTACGTATATTGTGATATCTATGGATCTGTGTAATGAGAATCGGTTATATGTGCTAATCATAGGTGGTGCCTTACAAGCTAATTACGTAAATGATGGCACGCGTAACGTGCTGCACAATCTCTTTATTTATTATTATTAGTATTTTTCACTTTCTGTTACATGTTATATATATTGTGATGTCCATGGATCTGTACAATGAGAATCGGATCATGATGAGATCACGATAACGAGATTGATTCTCCTTTAAACACAAACCCTAAATAATCTCAGTCATAGGTTACTCGAGAGGGACATCAAGATACCCGGACAGACTAGTGCATTGTATACCTATCCATATGATGGAGGCGACTGGTCTCATAGTTGCTCATGTGAAGACACTAGGGATACAATGTAGGTGCTCGTTAGAGAAGGAGTTCGCTGATTGATCCGCTCATGGAATGATGAATGGTTAATGATACCTCATTGTCAGATAGCAATTTTGTGGTCCTAGTTATATGTTTGATCCTTAAACTTGAGATACCAAGGATGTCCTATATGAGTACTATACTCTTTGATACCAGACTTGTAGGTCTGGAACATCAAGATCTAGTACAACCGATCATCGGGAGTGGTAAACAATCTTACAAGGACAATTAAGTATCAATAAAGGATCATCTTCTCTTGGTATCATGAGAGATATATCCTATGTTTTCTTACTCAAGCAAATCCATGGTTATGGTCATTCAGGTTGAGAGAGAAAGAGTTCTCTAAGAGAATCCGATTAGAGTGAGACTTGAGTAGATTCCGTATGGGCCTGATAGCACTATGCCCGAAATAACGAGGAAGAACAAGGACAACGCAGAGAGACTATTCTCAATCATCTAGTAGTGTTCTTATCTCAGGTTAGATCAAATCTACAGTAGACTCTTGCTGTGATTACTTGGGGAGGTTTTAAATATTGTGGACAGTGACGTGATCCTTGTATCTCAGTTGTTCTCTTGTGGTTGTTGCTAGGGTTTAGGGCAAGAGATTGAGATTTGTATATTCATTATTCTTATAGTTGATTATCTCTAGTTTGTCCCGTGGTTTTTACCCTTTATATTGGAGGGGTTTTCCACATATATCTTAGTGTTCTATTTGATTGTGATTTCATTTAATTTTACTGTATATCATAGCCTACTAGTATTTATTCATATACAAAGGTTATTACGCTTTATATCCCCATCAGTGGCCTAGTACATCTATAGTCGATAAGTTGAGTGAATTATTATGGAAATAATAATTCACTAAGTCAAAAGGAGTCAAGTCTAAAGGATCACACACATATAGTGAATCCGTTCCGTGAAACCCAATAAAAACTTAGAGAAGATATTTGAAGACTAAGACTTACGATAAATTATAATATTCTCATGCATGTAACTTCAACTTAAATATTTTAGATTGTTGACTTAAGTTTAATAAAGTTAACAAATTAGTTATCTTAAGGTAGGTCATGACAATCGTTCTCCAAACTAATTCTTACTCGAGCCAAGCAGTTAGATTAAAAATAACCATGATATAAGTTAATTTAAATTTTTATTCACTTTCAAATTATAAAAATAAATGAGGATGTTATATTCATTGATGTTATAAGGTGTATCACAAAAAAGATCATCTCATTTGGACTGTTACTCTCTGATTTGTTTTACCGTGGAAAGGGTATGGGACATTAGTCTTCTCTCGGAGAAAACTGATCCCCAACCTGTCTGCAATTCTTATCTATCATCTCATCAGAGTCAAAGCATGTCACATCACGATCCTGCTGTTTCAGTGATGTGCATAACATCTGCACGATACAAGTCATGCGTCAAGAGGTTGCGATGTCAAGCTCAGCTGACAAAGCAAGGCAGCTGAACATTCCTTGTGAAGTCGATTGGCCTTAGCCGACCCATGTCACAAGCTACTCGTAAGAGCAGGCCACGGGTGCAGCAAGCTCTATAGTATGACCTCACATCACAGTGATGTTGATGCAGCTCTACAGCTTCGTCCTCTCGGTGGAGTAATGAATTTGTTGGCAGGAAAGAACACAAAGAAGTCTTGATGTCCATTAGAACTCTTGTTTGCAAAGGAAGACGGAAAGGAGATTCTATGAATCTGATCTCATCTCAAAGATGAACCTTTTCTTCTTGTTTTCCTACATGTCTCTCTTTGTGCTTGTATGTCTTGAATGCTACGAACTAGCGAAAACAATTATGAACTCTTTACATCAAATATTCCTCCATTTCTATTTTTCTGTGTACTACTGTTTGTATTAAACGAGGAAAAGAGGTCATTTTAGCCCACCTTTATGCTCACCCAATATCGGCAAGTAATCTTTATGCCTTGGCCCTTCAAATAATCTTTTTTCATGTATCTTCTGTTAGATTGTTTCACCAACTAAAAGAAGAATAAATATTGATATTGAGATCAACAAGGCTGAGACCACTTTTGCTCCAAAAGAAGAGGTTTTCTGTGCCAGATAGAGGCTTGGCACGCCATTCTGGATCAAGATTCAAAGATTTCTCCAGTAACTCTTGCAGAGCTTCCAAGTAATCTTCAATATTAATACAAGAACTAATTGTTAATTCTAAAAACTCAACACCGATTGCTTATCATCTTAGCCTTGTTTAGCTGCTTTCACTTGCTTCTCTAGGATTTATGTCAGTTGGCCGAGAAATATCTTTGTCCAGATTGTCTTGGACATGTCTTGAATCCAAACACTTCAGCAAGGCCATGGATACTGTGACATCCCGTTAGGCCAACCAATTCTTCTGCCTCATAAAATTGCTAGATTCACCTTCATCTGTTAATTTTAGACGCCAAACCAGCACAGGAATCCTTGTTTTGGGTTGCCGGTCTTTCGCCTGCAACTGGTGGTGCTTCATGTAATCCAAGTCTTTGATGAATCGTCTGTTGGTGATAATTTGACAGTGATATCTAGCTAACTGATGCCAACACAATTGTCTAAATCAATGCTCATCTTCAACTTGTGATTCCTATCTTCCTTTCCCTACTTCGAGCATTTGCATGCCAACAAGTACATCTCGGTAACAATTTCTGCCCTGACTGACCATCGGTCGGCTGCATGCATGGATCGGTCAGTAACAAATGTCTTCTTTGAGAACTCATTCTCACATCATGACTATGTTTGCTTTCACCATTCTTCATCGTCGTTTAGCTTTCGATTGGTATCACAGTGACAATCACCTACTTATAAACATGATTTTGTACATACCATTCAGTGTTCTTTTCCTGCCAAAGAAACAATTCTTTCCCTGCAGTAACCGTGAAGCATTTACTCACGGATTGGCTGAAACTAAATGGTGATAGTTTGGTGATCTGTGGGAGGATCATTTATTTTGTCACTTCAGATTCGATCAGGTATCCACCAAACATTTCACATGGATTGGTTCCTGCTTCAGATACCTATCGAATTTTACGAAATCTTTACGACTGATGCATGAAATGGATCATTTCACCAAATGCAGTAAGCAATTTGGAAATATAATAATGCATGCCTAGGCATATGGTATCAAACTTTATTTCCAGATTGTAGAATGACAAAGTTACCTGATATTTTCATTTCAGAATCCAAGCATGGAGAAACAAATGGATCCTTTCAGGGACCGCAAGCAGAGGAGTCAGACAGGTCAGTGATGAAATCTAAAGAAAGCGGACTTGCTTGTAAGGTTCATAAGATCCAAAAGATTGACACAAACAAGTGCAACTTGGTTTGCTTTCTTTAGTCTGCAATCAAGTCGATGAAGATGCCGAAATGAAAAGGTCACCTCACCGAGCTTCTTCTCCATCTTTTGAACCTTAATTTGTCCATGAATATGGAGTGTGGACAATGGCCACTTGAATGTGGTAGCAATTACTGTGTAGAGTGGCGGTAGATGGATGCATTTAATTGCTAATCAGTTGGGTGTTAAGTTGGTGAATTCATTGATCACCTTTCTATGCCAAACTTCTTGTGAGGGAGAAAGAATCTTGTGGGTTCTCCAAAAAGGATTTTTGTTTTCCTTTTCCTTTTCCTTTTCCTTTTTTTTTTTTTTGCTTCTCTTCTGGAATAATGTGGGATCTTTCAAATTTTCTTTTCTTTGTATTTTTTGGGTTTCTAGGATACGACAGTCGAGCTACAATTGGGTGGGTGTCACCACCATCCACCTCAATTTTCAGATGGTGTTGAAGTTCCACCCACTTCTTCTTTTCCAAGAGTTGAAAGCTACTTTTCTCAGGCTCTCACCACCACCACCACCACCAAAGAAGTACCTCGTGCTACCTTGGAATCCCTATATAGAGTCCACAATGTCCGAGCACCAAAGTACCTTCCGGTGTCCAGGTCTTAGGAGAGATGGGATTGCTTCTCTGTCTACCTTTCTTCCTCCTGCTCTCAGCAGCATCATCTCCCTTGAACGATGTTCCCAACAGCTCCTGCTCTGCCAAATTCATGGGTACTCTCTCTCTCTCTCTCTCTCTCTCTCACAATATATACATATATATATATATATATATATATATATATATAATCCACTCTGGCAAAAAAGTTTATGATGGTGTTGAATATATTATGTTGATCAGTCAACTTTTAGATGAGATGAATTGTCAAAAAAACTCAATACAGGTTCTTATCGAGGTAGGAAGTTTCAGAAATGTCTTCCAACGTTTTGATGCCTGCTTACTTTCCATCTGCTTTATTTTCTTTTGCTTTACGAACCGAGAGGAATTAGATAATTCAGAAGAAGCTCAAACATCATTTTGATCATTAATTATAGTATTAGAAAGGAAGAGAGAGAACTTTGCTCGTCACATACTTCTTCCCTCGGTCCTCTGTTCCTTGCAATACTTTGGCAATTGGCATTCCATTCATAACAAGCGATTGATGAAGCTGTCTCTTGATCAGGCTGTTGACCAGGAAGCATTCAAGACTGGTCAACAGATAAGCTTCACATGGTTATGTGGAAACGACCAAATGGTGGCAAGTGCAAGTAATGGGGTCCACGGTCAACCACCATATATATTCTTGTGTTGTCGACAACCAGGTCTAAAAAAGTCAACAAAAGAAGAGAGAGAACGAAATAAAAGTCATAGGAGTGTTTCTTTTATCCTCTGAACACATTTACACCTATCATATGCGACTCGACCGATTTTATGATTGCTTGTGTTGACTAACATGGTACTTGTAATGCGTTGACTTCCCTGTCCACGCGCAGATCCACTCCGCAACCTCAACAGCTCGGGCCTCCACCTCACTCTCCATCACCCCAGGAGCCCCTGCTCCCCGGCCCCCTTCCCCGACCTTCCCTTCTCCGCCATCCTCTCCCACGACGAGGCCCGCGTCCGATCGCTCGCCGCCCGGCTGACCAAGTCCATGCCCAAGCCCGTGTCCTCTCTCCTCCGGCCAGCCGCCATCTCCGTCCCCCTCTCCCCTGGCGATTCCATCGGCGTCGGCAACTACATCACCCGTATCGACCTCGGCACGCCTGCCAAGTCCTACGTCATGTTGGTCGACACCGGGTCCTCCCTCTCCTGGCTCCAGTGCTCCCCTTGCAGCGTGTCCTGCCACGCCCAGGTGGGTTCCGTATTCAACCCCGCGTCTTCCGCCACCTACCGCGCCGTCTCCTGCTCCGCGTCCGAGTGCGACAGCCTCGAGTCCGCCACTCTCAACCCTTCCGCGTGCTCCCAGTCCAATGTCTGCATTTACCAGGCCAGCTACGGTGACAGCTCCTTCTCCGTCGGTTACCTGAGCAAGGACACGCTCTCCTTAGGCTCCGGCCATAGAGTGGCTAACTTCGTCTTCGGCTGCGGCCAGGACAACGAGGGCCTCTTCGGGCAGTCCGCCGGCCTCATCGGCCTGGCGCGTAACAGGCTCTCCCTGCTATCTCAGCTTGCGCCAAGCTTGGGCTACTCTTTCTCTTACTGCCTCCCCACCACCGGATCCACCGGATACCTGTCGATCGGCACCTACGAACCGGGGCAGTACTCATACACCCCCATGCAGTCGAGCTCGTTGGACGACACCTTGTACTTCGTCAGGCTCACCAGCATTACCGTCGGCGGTCGAGGTCTGCCGGTGTCGTCCTCGGCCTACACCGGTACGCCGACGGTCATCGACTCGGGGACGGTCATCACGCGGCTCCCGTCGGACGTTTACGACGCATTGAGCAGCGCGGTGGCAGCAGCGCTGAGGGGCTACCCGCGGGCGCCGGCGTACTCGATACTCGACACCTGCTTCAAGGGGGGCCTAAGTAGGCTGGCGGTGCCGGCGGTGGAGATGGTGTTCCAGGGGGGCGCCACGCTAAGACTGGCGCCCAGGAACGTGATGATCGACGTGGATAGCTCGACGACGTGCCTGGCGTTCGCGCCCTCCGGGAGGGTGGCGATCGTCGGCAACAAGCAGCAGGAGACGTACAGCGTGGTTTACGACGTGGGCAGGTTGAGGATTGGGTTCGCCGCCGGTGGCTGCGGCTAAGATTGTGGCTGTGGTGCTTGCATTGTGATTTGATGTACGGTGGTGTGCTATGGTATAAAAATGCTAAAGCTGGGAGGTTGGGTGATGTATAACTGGACCGTAGAAATACTTGTTTGGTGCATCCTGATGTAATCTAGCGTTCCACAATAATACGATTGTGGGGATTGAGTCACCGCCACGTCTACGCTAAGGAAGTCAGACGTGGCCGTGACAGTATTAAATAAATGGATCTCGTTGTTTCATATCTCGCAACGTTTATTATAGACAGAGCGCCTTGTGGTCACGGTGAGACCACTGGCGTGGCAGTGACCTCCCAGTTGTCGCATTCGGACTACTTGTAGATGCCGTTGGTCAATGTTATTCATGATCATGGTAATGTGGCCCATTTATGCTACGGCACACACAAGGCCCATTGCTGCATTGTTACTGAGCAACAGTGTCAGGATCACATCATGTGCACCGTGTCATTTCCTACGTGTCCGAAAGCACAAGTAAATATGATACATTTCTCCTAATTGACCTCAGTTAAGCATTAGAATAAATTTACTGCTTTATGTAATTGTCGCTATCTAGATATCCACTGCACATTGAAGTGATGACAAAACAACCATCACAGGAGGAAATAGCAACTCATGATATATATATATATCAGTATAAAAGAAGAACAAGTTATAAGATGGTGGTAAATATCATGGTTTGTATCCAAAGTTGGTTCACCAATTAAGGTATAGCTTATCATTGTAATTCTAATATTACGCAGGGTGGACATCATGTACTGCTAATTGCCCAGCAAAGTTTCCAAGTCTTTTTTCTCCTTATTGCAGCAAGCCTACCTAGTCTTGCTATTACCAGCGAGGAGTAGCGAGTAGCAACCCTTGGTCATCAGCTAGAGGATTCTTATCCCATGGCATATTTCTGGGTCCAAGATCGGGCAGTTGCCTCATACTTGACACGATCAGTCTTGTACATGTGAGCAATTTCAGGAACCAATGGATCATCAGGGTTAGGATCTGTCAAAAGTGAACTGATGGATAGGAGCACCTGCATAACATCGTGTAACATGCATGCATCAGTGTTGATTACCAAACTTCCTTAATTTAAGCGTCAAGAAGCAAAACTGGAAGATGGCAATCTCACATCTTGCCAACTCGAGTGACTCTCTTACAATACTGACAATGCAGAACTAGCTCTAATATAAAATTTACCCGCTGCTACGACCTATATCCATTTACAGTATTCATGTCCCCCCTGAGTTTGATATAATCCATTCTTACCACTGGCCTTCTCCATTCCAAACAATATAAAGCATTATTACTTCACTCATGACGTGTCCATTTACATTCATGTTCGCAAATTTGACATAACCCATTCTTCCCATTGGCCTTCTTCTCCATTCCAAACAATACAAAGCATTGTTGCCTTGAACTTCGACTGATACCACTGTAAACCTCTAGGATAACCCATGGTTTAACATATTCAATGTCATAGTCAATATAAGTTGCTACCTGTTTTACCTACCCAAAAATCATTATATCTACAAGAGGATACCCAATGTTGTGACATAAGTCACAGCACAGATTGACAAAAACATTTCTTGTAAACCGACTTAGAAGTCCATAACCACCATTACTTAACCCTAAACTTAGCCACAGGCAGTTTATATTCCAAAAATCTAACTAACCTGGAACTTCAAAGCAAAATTGATGGGAAAGTACATACTACTTGAGAGAGGCAACAATATCTGAAAGAAGTGCTCAAACAAATTAGAATCACCTTGGATATTGTCAGAGCAGGACTCCACTGCTCCTTTAAGATGTCAAGGCAGATGCTTCCATTGCTGTTGATATTCGGATGATAAACTTTGGTGCGAAACGAGACCTGAAAAGTATTATATGACCAAATTTCCCAATGTGACATGTGGCATTGCTATCATAAAGAGACTAGACTTCATTCAATATTAACCACATAAAACAAGTATCGCTTCTGTTTATATTACATGTTTCACACTCAATTTGTCAAGATTCTGTAGACCAATGTTAAGTTACATGCACATGCCCAGATTAGTTAACATCACATAATAAATTAACATATATAATTACTACTTTGGCAAAGCAGTGAATGGTAAACCAGATTCTAATTAGCATTCCAAAAACACACATAAAATTGCAAGATGATTAAAGATCAGCCAATGCCAAAATGGATTTGACCACATTCCTATTAGAAAACAAAAGCCATCCTTCATCTGGCTGTAAAGTTTAACCTCAGGTTATGAGCTGACACAACACAATCAAATTTGAATTAGCCAATATCTACATGACGGTAACAGTAATGGCCGATCACTGATATCCAAGTATTATGGGGTTCATTAATCTTCTAGGCCTCCAGCAAGCCCAATAAGAACTCTTGGGCTAAAGACGCATCAGTTAGTAGGCTATTCTTGGCCAAACAAAACCAGGGTCTTACAGTAGATAGTGATTGACATAGGACAACCCATAAGAATGGTGAGATCAAGGAATCCCCTTTTCACATTTATGCTCTGCCACAATACTCTCCACTTAGTCTTGTTGGGACTGAACTGTCTTCATCTTCATCATTAATTACATCTTTTACAAGGCTTTTTATATTCCCTTTAATGATGTCTCAATATTCTTATGTCACTATTTATTTATAATGGACTTCACATAAAAAGGGGAAAAAGCAAGAACTGAGAAAATATAGAAAACCAAAAATACAGCACAAACTGCCACTATTTCTAACTACTCGAAGCTAGGGAAACAGGTGTAGAATCTCCACTATCACAGGAAGTAAAGATATTGCAATATGGATGTCTCATAGAAAAATCGAGAGACAATTCAGGGAAATGCACCATTTGAAGCAATCACTATAAGGATTAGAGGACAAGCATTTATTCCATAGGTAACGACCAACACAACAAGCTGTAAAGTCACAATTATTTTGTGTCAAGTACATGGACCACCACTAAACTTAATGTAGAGCGATATCACTATTTAACGACAAGCAATCAAACCTCTTTTTGTGATTCCAGTGAACTTTTCTTAGGTCTTCATATCCTAGTTTCTCAAAACTAACCTTAATCAGCAATGCTCATCCAACTGCGCTAACCATTGCTATCCTTTGAACATGTTTAAAATGGATTTACCTTATTTTATCCTCCAGAGGAGCTATAACTAGTTGTTAGTGAAAACAAAATATTTCTTATTCTATACTTTCTCGAGTACAAATTCAGCTTAACAGTTTCATTTCAATGACAACCTTTTTTAACATGTTTCCTATTCAATCAACATACCAGTTCATAAAGCATGGCTGGCCTATGTTATATGATTTATGTTAATTAACAGGTACAAGATCACAAAAATTCCCAAAGTAGAGAATAGCTAGTACTTTAACTGTCTCATAGGATTTTCCTTTTAATTCAAGAAAACTCAACAATCACACAAAACTGTCAAAGCCTATATCCTTTAAAAATATTGCTTTACTCTGTTAGATAGTAAAAGTAATGGTCATTATGAAGGCAATGTCTCCATGCATAAGATAATCACATAGAGAAATTAGATAGGTACACAGATTATGCTGAAGTAGTTACCTTGGGTGGCTTGAATGGGTAATCAGGTGGAAAGTGAATATTCACAAGAAATATACCACCTGCAAATGGGCTATCAGCTGGTCCCATGATGGTCGCCTGCCAGTGGAATATGTCCTCAGCCACAGGGCCTATGAAATCAACAAATATGTAAGACAAACCTCTCATTTATAGATTCCTAACAGCTTGCAAAGAAAATGTGGTGATTCACATATCATGCTAAAGACCTTAAAAGAAAGTTGAATGTCTATATCACATTTTGAGGGAAAAGGATCAGAGGCATGGAACTATAAGAACAGGAATTCAATATTTCATCATATTGCTGCTAACTAGACCGAGATTTAGCGAAAATTTATCTAAAATTGCTAATAAAACTGAACAGTCCTATGTCGGAATAAGGGCTAATTTTATGTTTCAATGAGCCCCAAAGAGTGAGTTATTTGTGGTCACCATAGCTTTCACTATATTATTTTTTCCATTAGGGACAACAGCGAATGTCAAGCTGCTGATTTGCAGCTCATTTACCAGAAAACATGCTTATAAAACATAATTGTAAGTCTAGATACACATAAGATTGTATAAAAGCAAAGAATATATGAATGTATGTTTTGAATAATATAAAAAGATTGTGCTGATCCATGTTACTAAATTTTGAACAGGCTTCAAGAACATGGAAATGACAGCAAGAACGTGCTTCAAGAATAAAATAATTACATTTACAAAAGCTTGATATACCATAGTGAAAAATATGGTCATATCTCAGGATAAATATTTATAAGTAATTCACCAGAATTCCTAATCTGTTCATCAAAAGATATTATATTTTAGTCACATACTGCTTGAATATAGAGAGGTTCAAGGTAATAATAATGTATGAAAAATGAATATAGTTAATTAATTAGTAATAATAATTTTGGTTACAAATAATGTATCCAATCATATATTCATCTCATCTAATTCATAAGTAGCATCATTATTAAAAAAAAAATTCTCCCAAAGAAGTATTCATAAAGTGTCCCCCTAAGTGAACAATATCAATTCCTTTCAATAATTAACAAAATTAGGATAATTAAAGAAAACATATACATGTATCCAAGAAATATCCAAGGAATATTATATCCAACATATAACCAATACACAGAGCAAGTAATTAGAAGTATCCATGTTCCAATAAGTGTATAAAATCCCATGAGAAGCAAAGGATTACCAACATATCATTTGATATTCAATTTATGTAACTAACTAATAAGTAGGAACTGTGACTTTAGTGCCTGCCAAACACTAACATAACACCTACTGATGGGCATGATATTCAAGATGCTTAATGCGTTCACATTATCATCTACGAGATCACTTAGCTATGTAAAAAAAGAATAGACCACGACATAAGTACCTTTATATGCTGGATAAATTACAAAATGTTAATATTGCTTTCTCACGATTAACAACACGTTTGAGCTAAAGACTTTCCCTAGAAAATGCTTATGCAACAAGAGAACACAGCAACGCTGTATATACTAACAAGAATACAAAATGTATGCAATGAACAAACAACAATAGAACACGTGGAGAGAGAGAATCATCTACATGAAAAATCAAGAAAAGCATGATGACCAAACGGAGTAGAATTGCTCCAGAGGAGAAGCTAACAACAGAAAGAAATTGCAAATAAAACTAACAAAAGGAATCATAAAATTAATTGCACAATTAGCTGAACAGGAAACCAACCCGCGCTGCAAGATGCAGGAGGGTCCTTCTCCAGGTCCTTCAACTCCTTCATGATCCTCTTGGAAGCCATCAGTATCCGATCAAATCACGAACTAAGACAAGACCTGCAACGGCAAGACAAAAGGAACGAACAGAAACAACATTCAGCACAAAGCAACATACACCCGCGAAATAGGACAAGCGCGAAAAAGAAAAAAAAAAAGAAAAGGATTTTACGAGACAAGAAGCATCTGGAAACCGCTGACTGCAGAAAAATCGAAAGAACGCGCACAAGACGATCCAGGGAAGAAAACCCTCGAATGCAATCAACGAACGCAAGGGGGGAAATAGAGCAAGACCAATAAATCAGCCACAGGAACACGAGAAAGATCGACCGCCACAATATTAAATTGGAGAGGGATTCGTACGGTAGAGAGGCAAAGGGTCCGCGTCTTAGGGTTTCCTTCCGTCACCTGCGGAGTTCGCCGTCTCCCCCAAATAAACGAGGCCTGTTATTAATAGCGCAACGGAGTCAAAATTCTAATTTCTGTCAAAATCGATTTCCAGTGAACTTGATGATTTCATCTTGGCCGTCTGACGTGTGTTCGGTTAGCGTTCTAATTAGAGGTCAACAGCAAATGAAGGCATGAAACCTTTAGTCGTGAGATAGCAGGCATCTCCCCCGCAATCGCAGTCAATCGCCACGTCAAAGCTGACATGGCATATCGGGAGCTCACATGGTGCACACATGCAATCGTGACACCTCGGACTTGTACGAGACAGTCACCTACACCCGCACCATCAACACACACCCATACGAGACAGCCAACTATACTCGTGTCGCCCAAGGTTGTACGAGATAACACCACAGTATAGAGCCGCTCGGGAACGTGTGAAGCGACACTGCATGGCACAGAGTCATGCAAGTCGGTCAACGTTGTGCGAAGTGTACGGAACAATCGCCCAAGGCATCGACGACCATTAACAGACCGCGAACGACCGACCCTCGATTACAAGTATAAAAGATGAACTCCTAGCCAGCATTGAGGGTCGGATCTTTGACACTCAAATCCACTACATCACCACCATACTAACTTAAGCTTCGGAGGTGTCAAGTCAAGATTCCTTCTCCCAACTTTAGCCTGTGTGCAAAAGCCCAGCAAGGAAGGAAAAACAATGCCCGGCTCTATCTTGGATTGGCTTGACAGACGGCGTCCTGATCCAACCTGACGCCGACTTTCTCCAATTAGGAAGCCATGTTGACAACCTTGCACACTCGGATCAGATCGAACCATGCTGACAACTCGGCCATGACGTGAAGTTGCATAATATTTTTGGCACTAGAAAGAAGACCCGATGTCATAAGAGCATCCACCACCGAACAACCCCAACGAACGCCCTTACAAGGAGGCACCCGCCACCATCTTCACCTTCGGCCTAGAAGGTAGCTCCCCACTCTCCTGCATGTGGACGAAAGCGCATTAACTCAGACTCCCTGGTGCTATTGGTGTTTGTTCAATGATCCTGGGCTCTCGCCTCCTAGGGCTGGCGTGGGGTAGTTGGTCGTCTTCGCCGAGGCGTTCCTCAACTTCACCCACTAGGTGCAAGCATTGGTTAAGATGATGCAGACCATCACACCCCTCATACCCTAGCTAGCTCTACAAACGACTCTCCCCCCACGGTTATCGCCCGTGATCTAACCTACGCTTATCCCTACATGATGCCACCCCAGTTGACTAACCACCTCTGCTCCATATGCCCATCCCCTAACTAGGGAGCAATCGGGAGACCCGAGGCCAATGGCAGAGCGTAGTGCCCATGTGCCTAGATGCGTTACCTCGACCTTCCCCAAAGCCGACACCCTGTTGTTCGACTCGACAGACAACTCATTGCGGGCTTAGTTACAATTGGTGAATTGACACCTAGACGAGGTTCAAAGGGAATTCCACAAGTCTAAGGAGGAGCTCGAGAAAAGTACCTCCATTGGGTCTCCCTTTGCCCAAGAAATTCAAGACAAGCCTATCCCCCTCAATTTCCACCTCCTGACATTGGAGGCCTATGATGGTGGCTCCGATCCAATGGAGCACATCGCTGCCTTCTGGGCCCAAATGGCCTTATACGACACTTTTAATGCCTTGATGTATCGAGCATTTCCTACCATCCTTCGAGGCCCGGCTTGGATGTGGTACAACCGATTGAGGTTGTTCTCGATCTCGTTTTTTGATCATCTTGCAAGGGAATTTGAGTTTCACTTCATAGCCAAGGGAATTTCCTACCACCCTTTGAGGCCTGTGGCCATGCTCCTTGGGCTAAGGTAGAAGAACGATGAATCCCTCTCCCTCTTCGCCACTCGCTTTGTTAATGCGATCCGAGGGGTTCCAGATGCCCACCTCTTATTAGTTATACAAGCGTTCCTAACGGATTGCGATCTTCAAGGTTATTTTGGTCACTGGTCTAGAGGCCACCAGTAACCATTCCCCAGATGCTCCAGTGGGCTAGCTAATATGTTGCTGCTGAGACACCGGTGATAGGAAAGCATGAGGAGTCGCACAAGAGGCCGCGGTAGGAGCTACCCCAATGAACAGACTAGGGAAAGAAGAAGGCCCGCCATAACGAGGACGGAAGTAGATGAGTCTGAGGTGTGCAGGTAAAAAAAAAAAGGCCTACTATGGCAAAACATGGGCCCGAGTCATGCATCTCGGCTAATCATGACCTTGAGTTACGTATCTCGACCAGTCAAGAGCCTTAGTTACGTATCTCAGCCAATTATGAGTCTGAGTCATGCACCTCGGCCAAATAGTGTCTGAATCATGCACCTTGGCCAAGAAGTGTCTGAGTCATGCATCTTGACTAGTCAGGAGCCCGAGTTACATATCTCGGCCAGTCAAGAGTCCGAGTCATGCATCTCGGTCAAACATTGTCTAAATCATGCACCTCGGCCAAACAATACCCGAGTCATCAGCCAAATAGTGTTTGAGTCATGCACCTCAGCCAAACAGTGCCCAAGTCATGCACCTCGGCCAAACAGTATCCGAATCATGCACCTCGGCCAAACAATGCCCAAGTCTTGCATCTCAATCAGTCATGAGTCCGAGTCGTACACCTTGGCGAAACAGTGTCCAAGTCGTGCACCTTGGCCAAATAGTGCACGAGTCATGCACCTCGACCAAACAGTGCTCGAGTCATGCACCTCGGCCAAATAGTGTCTGAATCATGCACCTCGACCAAACAGTGCCCGAGTCATGCATCTTGGCCAGTCATAAGTCTGAGTCGTGCACCTTAGCCAAATAGTGTCTAAATCGTGCACCTTGGCTAAATAGTGTCCAAGTCATGCACCTTGGCAAAACAGTATCCGAGTCGTGCACCTCGACCAAACAGTGCTCAAGTCGTGCATCTTAGCTAGTCATGAACCCGAGTTACACATCTCAGCCAGTCAAGAGCCCGAGTTACACATCTTGGCTAGTCATGAGTCTAAGTCATGCACCTCGGCCAAACAGTGTCTGAATCAAGCATCTCAATCAACCAGTGCTCGAGTTATGCATCTTGGCCAGTCACGAGCTTGAGTTACGAATCTCGGCTAGTCATAACCTTGAGTTATGCACGGCCTATAATGAGCCCGAGTTACGAATCTCGACTAGTCATGTGCCCGAGTTACGAATATCGACTAGTCATAAGCTCGAGTTATGAATCTCAACCGATCATGGGCCTGAGTCATGCATCTCGATTAGTCATAAGCTTGAGCTACATGTCTTGAGTGCCCGAGTTATGCATCTCATCGGGTCAGCGCCAGAGTCGCTCGAGTCATGCGTCTTGTCCAAACATGGCCCGAACTACGAATCTCTACCATACAAAAAGCTTGCGGTGGTAGGTAAAGGAAATGAAGGCAAGCCTCTTAGTTCGAAGGGGGTCTACAATAAAGGAACCCACACACACATCGAAGCTGTGGAATTGACCAGAGAAAGCCCCAAGCCGTACCTCAGGCCCCTCCATGAGGAACTCAAGGCACGCCTCTTTGAGGGGGGGAGAGAATGACAGGGCATATTCTGGCATCTCCCTCGCAATCGCAATCAACCGCCACGTCAGAGCCGACATGGTGCCTCGGAGCTGACATGGCGTGCACACGCCAACGTGTTAACTCCACATGCACTCAGACATTCGACTTGATAAGTGTATTGTATATTGTATTTGTAACCTGCACAACCAATCAGAAAACCTGATAACTGATTAACGATAAATAACAAAGAGAACAAGCCTAGCGCAGATAAAAAGCATACGGCACTCGGGATAAATGCGTCTGAATCTAAACAGAAATTTTCAGCAGGAAAACAAGATTGATGAGGTGTGAGCACAAGTGGAAGGCTAGAACTGTCAATTACACCCAGTTAACCATATTCTAGATTGCAGATCCAGTTGCTGACATGTATCACCTGGATGCTGGATAGAACTGAGGAGGTGGTTTCCTAAATCTCTAGGGAGAACATATTGTCACCTAATAAAACAGAGGGGGAGTCAGCTGATATTCTTAGTGGGAGGAACATGATTCTGATACCAGGTAGCTAGCAATCTGCTCACCACACTACTTCAGCTGCAAAAAACTGCAGTGAGGGAACCTAAAATCTTATAAGAAAAGAGTAAATTTGATGTATCAAGTTATTGTCTGTCCTCTGGGATTCTTATGTGGGTAGATTCTGCTAGGTCAATCAGCAAATCCTCATTTGACAAAGGAGGAAAGAGAGAGGGGGCGACCTGCTACCATGACAATTGACAAATAACTTCAATGATACTTGAGCAGGAGAAGCTTTCGAATTACCCAGACTCATGATGAAAATTTATTTTGAAGCTCTGAAGGTTGCCAGACTAGGCAGCACCTCTGTGATTGATCCTTCATTCTTATATTTATTTACCTGAACAAAGACATTATAAGCTTTCACCTTAAATGGCTTTGACTATTTATATATATAAAAAAATAAAGCAAATTCTAAGAAGTAAAACTACTATATAGTATATACAACTAACTAATCCCTAAAATTACTAAAAGAAAACAAAACAACTATAAGAAAACAACATGTAAAAGGCTCTTTAGTCTCCGTACCAGTCCTTATGGAAAGATATACAGCTCTGATTAGACTTGACAAAGCACATAATGGACCAGGTTTCAGATATATAACATATCCCTAACCCCTAAAAGGGCATTTTAAAATCATGCCAACCTACTCTTGAAGTACGAGAGAGATGAATTGTGAAATACAGTACAGGCAATTTATACCATCAACATCCTTTTCCCAGATCTAAGATCAAGGTTTCACAATGCGCAAGAAGCTTACTCTTAAGTTTACTTGAGAAGATCTTAAGAGTCTTAACAAGCCTCATGGCCAAAGATACATAATCTAAAACTGTTCCATTATAGTGGCATTAATGCAACATGAACTATAGAAAAACAAAACTATTTGCATGAGAACTATAAAAGAAATTCCGATGAACATCAATGATTAAAGCATAAGGATATAAGAGAGAGAAAAATAGAGACCCTTACCTTCAAGGATGGTATTAGAGCATAAACTTCATCAACGGTCTCAGGACAAATGTTTCCGATCATGCATATCTGTATTAAGGTCAAAAGAAAACTAATATAGATGTGCCACTGAGTCAAAATAAGTAATTAAATAACAGTTGCACTTCAAACCTCGGCTTCAGTAACCCCGTTCAGCTTCAAAGTTCTATCACCGAAGTTATGGGCCAACAAGAAGTTTTGTCCAATAGAGCAAATGACAGAATACACAAGCTAACTGATATATGTTAATAATTAAAGGATACCCTAAGACCGATTTCACGGACTGGACATTTGTGCAGTACCATTGACCTTGGAGTACTGCAACGCTTTGCTAAATGACCTGAAAGAGAAAAAAGACATCATTGATCCAAATACTTAATTATTTCAAAAATAAACCAATTAATCGGGAAAAAATACAAAATATAATTCCTAGGCAATTTGATCTTGGGATCCATAGACAGAACAGTCATGTGTTGCTGGATTTCTTGTAAAATTTCTGCTGCTTCACAATTCATTGACAATCTAGAGCCCTTTGGAAATTCAAAAAGAAAATAATGGAAAAAAATCGCCAAATTAAGCTATAATCTAGACTTGTCTAGCTGAGAATGAGATGCTATGGTATATGATACCAACGTTGAGGTTTTGAACTAAAATCATGTGAGATTATGTCAGAAGTTCATAAGGAAAACATAACTGTTTCCCTTGGTTTAATATCTCTTCGGTCCTGCTTGCTTCTTATTAAAAGTGATCATTCTAGAAACATATTTTGTCAGCTTACTAATAAGTAAAATTATGGAACCAAATGTTCAAGCTTACAAGCATCATTATATTTTCATCAACAAAAACACATATAGAACATAACAACATCAAAGCCACCTACCACAAAAGAAAATTCTGAAGAAACCCTTTCCTCAAGATAGATAAGATATATTAAGTTGCTAAAGTAAAGTGGTAATATGGCAACCTTCATTGCTTTCCATAAATAGCATTAAGTAACAAACTAATAGTTACCGTCCTATTTGACATGGCAACATATAAGCTGTCAATTACTTACTAAATGTCATCATCTTGTAAGTAACATGGCATTAGCACTGAAGGATGTAGACAAGAAACAAGTTGGCTTATGTAATAAAGCAAGTCAAAGAAGGGAAGCATGCAAAGAACTGATCAATATGAATACCTAGCACATATAAATGTCAAAAAGTTGCACAAAGTTAATGGTTCTTAACAACCAAACTTTGGATCTTCGACACTGTTTTAACTTTTAAGCACATACAATTGTTGGAAATGTCTAATATTGGAAGATACAAAGCTAAAACCAAGATTAATAAGTTAGCCGTAACTCATAAGAATTGGATAGACTAACGCAAACATGGAAGCACAAATTATGTGGTTAGCATTGCATGAACTATTCACAACATGCTATCAAATGCTTATTCTAATGCAGAATTTCAGAACATGGGACTACAAGAAAGATGCCACTGGATAAAAAAGTTTGATTTTCGCAAATAAGTGCTCGACGGTGAAAATAATTTTGGATTTAGGCGATGATGGAAGTCGAAAAAGGAAGTTTCCAGGTTTACCTAACGAACAATGGTTGTACGAGGCATTTACTCGGTTGTTTGAACTTGAGTAACGTGTTAAGCTCATAGTAACCATCGAAATGCTACACATATCATGTTTCTACCTCAAGGGGAAGGCAGACGATCGAAAAAACTACAACATTTCCCCTAAGTCATTCTTAGATTTCAATCAACAAATCCGACTTTTAAAACGTATACTAGACGTTAACTACAGAGAGATGGAAGTATAATCAAGGAAATCTAAACCTTGCTTTGGGGACGCTGATTTGGGAGCAGCTTTCCCTCTCGGGAAGGAAGACACCTTACCTCCTTTCTCTGCCATTGACGGGCGTGGACCCAAGACGACTCCCGGTGGAGAGTAGGGGCTTCTCCAGCAACAACCCTGGCGCTCCATCTTTCTGAAGGGGGGATTCAGAACCAACACAAACCGCGAGCAGACCAATGTGGGGATCGATTCGCACCGCCTACCGTCCGATGCCGAGGCTTCCCTGTCGCCACCCACTGCGAACCCCGTCGTCTCCTCAAACCGAAATGGACATTCTCGATCATACCATCGCGAGAGCGGTTGCTCTTCCAAGTCATCGCAAGATCGTGATGGAACTTATGATACCATCTCGACCGTTCAATTGTCCTTTCAAATCTTGGCCGTTCAATTTCCTATTCAGAGCCTCTTCTTTCCTGACATCAGTATCGACACGCGATTCGATAACGCGAACATAGATAGCATTCTACAGTCTCAAAAATGTGACCTCTCTTCTCTGCAAACAGGCATAGAGCTGCTTCCTCTCGATGTGGTCCTTTGGTTATTGTTTCTTACATCAGCCTAAGGCCATGCTAAGCTGCTTTCTTCGATATAGTCCTTTGTTCATGGTTTCTTTGATCACCCCAAAGCTATTTCGTGTCGTATATATATGAAGAAATATTACCATGTGAATTCACATATGTATTCCAAGGACTAAACCAGAACACAAAGTTTGAGCTTCCTTGGTTGGTAGGCAAACCTGCAGATTTGAAACAGGTGACATCAATAGCATGCTTGGCTTCATGGATTGTTACACCTTCATTTTCTGGTTCTAAACCCCTAACATCTCCACTTATCAACAGGCAGCAGGAGACCTAAGAAGGTGCCACTACAAATTAACTAGCAAAAGTATTTAAGATAAAGGAGATGACAGTATAAAGAAAGGAGCCATTTTCCTTGGAGAACTGGTGCAACTCACTATCTCTAGTAGATTCTTAGGATATCAGGGTGGACTAGAAATAACCTTGGATTCACTGTAAGATCAGCAACACTTGCTCAATCAGCTGTGATGTCGATCTGTAGACAAAATTTTCCAGATTTCGGAATGTCTTGCAAAGTTTGGGAATAAGAAGACATGTGACTGCAATGAATTAGAACTCAATTAATCGAAGCAAAAGATTTAATGATTCAGAATTCAGTCCTGAAGTAGTGCATGAAGACTAAGCCTATCCAAGCATTGATGTTTTCTGGAGCAGAGAGCAGCCTTTCACCCTTCTAGTGCAATATGTTTGCTTATTATGGAAAGCTCACCACCAATAATTGCCACTATCCGTAAGAGATCTCAAGTCTCAACCGGGTGTCGCCGCCTTTTCTTCTAAGATCCTGTTGCATGACGAATCTGATATGTGCAGCCACTGTATGCTACAGTCCTTACTCTGTCCTCATCTGTCTAATTATATGATGTAAGCATCATATTCCATAAAGAGATGAAGTGTTGCATTTTGCTGACTCCTTCAACTTATGCGTGCATTCAACTTGGTTAAGTTTAATGTTCTTCGAATGATTAGTGCTCACAAAAAAGGCCATAGGGAGAGCCAGTTCATATATAATTTTACCAACAAGATATCTAGATTTAATACTGCGTTCTTTTTTGTCTATCAAACTTGTTGTGACTGCAATCAAAATGGTATTCCAAGAATTAATTGATTGGATACCAGAAGGAGTGCAGTCATATTTGTTTCAGAAACTAAAAGTTTATCCTTCTGCATGGAGCCTTCATTAGATGGAATTCTGACTGACAGTTCAAGCTGAATCATGTTGCAGAGAGAGCAGAGGGATGAGGAAGTGAAGGAAGAACACAAAACTCTCTCCCTCAGTGAAACATGCCAACAGATTCATGGAGTCCCATAAACTCTGAATTCAACTCTCATCTAAGCAGATTTCTTCTTGATTTTGCGGAACACAATTTATCTTCGGCTTGTATGTTCTTCAACTTGTTCTGAAGCTTGGTTTCTTCATCTCTAAGCTGGGCATTCTCATGGAGGAGCTGATCGTGCTCTCTAATGACGCGGTTTAGATCATCAAGAAGCTTCTGGTTCGTGGACCGGAGATGGACAACCAGCGACCACAGCTCGCTGAGTTGGTTCTGCTTTCGCATGCGCGACCGGCGTGCGGACTCTCTGTTGGATATCATCCTCCTCTTCCTCCTCTCCTCTGCCAGGTTCAGCTGGTACTCCTCGGCCTCGACGATCACCATGTGAGAGTTGAGACCAGAGTTTGAAAGACTGAGCTCTTGCAATGGCATGCTTTGGACTTGGTTTGAAGAGTAACATCCGAAGATATTGCCGAAGTAGAAAGAGGGGACGTCGCCGTGAGCCATGTGGTAGTCAGTCTGGAAAGAAGGCAGATCTGAGGGTGAAAGGTATCTAATGCTGGCAATTTCACCTCGATGCATGGCTGCAACAATACAAGATGGAAGAGAAATCTTTGGAGTGGTTAGGAGAGCTGCTAGACTGAGATGTTTTAGTGAAGAGGAAGGAAGAATGAGGGGAATTCAGGTTAATTTATAGTGAGGGCGTGCTCAGCATTCTGGTATTTTAAGTTCCTACTCTTGTTAAAGAGAGCACAAACACACACATCAGTGAGGTCACCTTCCGGTTTGATGGATGCCAAGCAACGCATGCATGCATTTGATTCATGTCTTTGACATGCATGCAATTTCACATTAACAGCTAAAACTTACCATTTAAGTTTGCTGCTGGTTGGCTTGCGTCCACTTTAATGCAGGTATAGCTTTGGATGTATCTTCAAGAAAATAAAGAACAGAAAAGTTATTTGGATGATGGATGACAGGATGAAAGGCATCTGCAACAAGAAGCTATGAGAGCACTGTGGGTGTGGGTCAGACCCTCATGAAATGTGGGAAATGCTTTATAGAGGAGCAAGTCGAAAAGGAAAAGGAAAGAAGAGGTGAGAGGAACGTGTTATTAGTTTATTCTTGTTCTGAGCATGGCTTAATTCTGGCTGAGGGACGCAATTGAGGTCACTTTCTGTAAAGGAGAGAAATTAGTCTATCAATTAGAAAGTGATCCACTGCTATGGACCCCCTAACTTTGAATGGGATGCATGATTAAGCGCCTAAAAGCTTATTGCTCAGTAAGTTATTGCATCTTCCAAGTACTTCAAAGGGATTTCATCATATATATGTATATCTTGGGTTTTTTTTGGTTCATTAGAAGATCTCCTTATCTTTGCAGTTGATTATTCCTAAGTTCTTGCATCTTTGAACATTCAGTCAAAAGCCTGCTTTATCTTCTTCTTTCTAGACTTTCTAGATTCTTATTAGCTTCATGACATGCAAACCGCCCTTCCCCACATCCAAGTCAAGATCCTATCTGTAGCCTCTGAGTCTGTTTCTCTATTGGTTTTATTAGCTTTGCTTTCAAGCTTGCTCAGTAATCACTTCATAACATCTAGCATTTGCTACGGCCACTCTGAGTGTGGTGCATAATCTTTATCATTTTATGGATGCTTTTGTCCCTTTAGATTGGAATCTTTACGTTGCTGCATTTGTCTGATATCGTCTCTCGGGAGTATCTTGACATTTCTCTTAGTTTATCCTACCAGCACGAACAGATGGCTACTCTCGAGTCTTTTCTTCCTCTGTTCAATGTTACATGAAAAGGTACCGGAAGAATGGTGTTTGATTGCCTTAGGCCTTAGCTGACATGACATTCTTCATCCTGATACAATACACCTGCCCTTTCTTTGTTTAGTTGTTTGACTGGATCTGCTGTAGTTAATAAAGAAAAAGAAGAGGAGCTTTTGATCCTAGGTCTGCTCATCTTGTAATCATCATGTGTAATGCAGCTCAGTTGGCAGTCACTAGTCTTTCAAAGCATCTAAGAATGAACAGCAAATAGAAGCATTCTGTCAGCTGAGATAATTTTGACGACATGGATATATTGTGGTTTAAGAAACTCGAAAAAAAGAATGGCATACCAATTTTGATCTTCACTTATCGGTTTCAGACTGGTATAGGGACGTAAACCAGTCTTCCAAACAGTTCATATCTGGTCTAGATCTACTCAACTTTTGACTATGTAGGAAAATGATTTGACAAGTGTAAATTATACATGAATTATGAGCTTTCAAGCTGGCTAATATTTCATAAAACCATGCTTGTTGATCTGAAGTTCTTAGCTGAATTGAGTAGCTGATATTCTAGGTTGATAAACTTGATGGGAGTATCTCTTGCAAGAGACAGTAGTTGTTTGGAAAAGAAGAGGCCACAGCACTCTTCCTGATCATACTTGAAATGCTGCCGTGTTCATTTTCGATTGCAGTTGCTATTACCACTTCATAGTTCATAATTCAATCATAAATGATAAATGTCGTCCTCCTAGAGGCTATTCAAATTTTTGACTTCAGCATGCAGCTGCTTGCTTGCTCTGATGTCATATGCATCAAAGATTCTTGTTTTTTTTTGTTTTGTTTTTCAGCTATAAATCTCTGCAGTTGCCCAAAAAACTTCAGTTTCATCCTCAATTTAGTTTGAAGGTATATACTGATTTCATCCTTGTGTAGTAAATAATTCTCCAGCAAGCAAAACTCCAATGAAGAATCACAGCCTTTTTATTCTTTTGAATAGAAATGGTTAGCATCCAAATTCAATTCAAAAGATTCAGTGTACAAAATAATCACATCATAGCAACATCGAAGAACAGCTAAAGGGGACAAGGTTTCAAGGTCAAAGGCCTACCCCTGCAGCCTTTGTTTCTTTAGAAGACAGGAAAATCTTTGGAATGTTTTAGCTTGATTTAAACCAAAGTGTTTCATTCCATGTCCTCCAACAACATGAAACAACAGAAACAATCTCTTGTCTTGTTCTTAGACACCAGCATCTTTAAGTCTTTTTCTGACTCCATCATTTCCAGCCTTCCAAAAGCCACCGACGCATTCATTGTTCTCTTCACTAATTCTTGAAAGACTAGATGATACTTAGGATGGCTTTATGGGGCAGTAGCTCAACTTGCATCACTCGCATTCTGAGGGTGAACAGTGTAACCTGTCGATTGATGGTTAGCTGTTTATGGATTGCTTACCCATCATCCATTTTCCCATCGGAGCTGAATTCTAAGTTTAACACTATCATGGCTGAGAAGCATCGAGCAAATTTATATGTAATAAATGCCTGTCGTCATCTTTTACATATATAGCAAACTAATAAACAATTTAATCCAAACAAAACTGGCAGCTTGTCAAAGTTCTGAGACCAAAAAGAATGCATTTTTGATTTATTATGATAGTTTAGTTGCTGTCCTGCGATCTACTTGTGATTCTATTCGTTGTAGTTGATAGTTAACTTGCATTGTAAAGCAATGATTTGATGATATTATTTCCACAACCTTGTCATTAAAAGAAAAACATGATTTGTATTCAAGGATGATCCATGTAGAAACTAATTTATGGCTTTAAAATCATCGGTCCTTTGGTTGCATTCGGGTTGTAAAATCATGTCAGAAGTAAACTGATATGTGGATATGGACAAAACCTGCTAATTGAAACTTCAGTAGCTGCACTTGTTCAACAACTTATTTTGGAGTCCAGCAATGGGAGCGTGTTCAAAGAACACATAAGAGGGCGTTGAAAGGGTGGGGATGAAAGTTAGATACACGACACTCCTGCAAAAATTTCCGAAGCAAAAAGAACAATGATTGGGTCTTCCACCTGGGTGGAGGTTGTGACCATTACACATCATGGAGTTTTGGAGCAAGGAGGAAGGAGGAGACTGAGAGTTGACAACTGCTATGCCATCTCTGCACTCACACTTGTCGGATGAGTTGGGTTTCCTCTGTCCGTGTTTAATAGGCTTAAACCCCATATGATGTAATAAGTCCCGAAGGATCAAATCCAGTTCACGATATGATGTCTTAGTATACTGATACCTAAAAGTGCCATTATGCAATCCTGTTTAGTCCCTGGGAAGATTGTGATCACTAGGAGTACTCACTCTTTATGCTGTTCTTCGTTATCATCAATACATGATCACGGTACCATTATCCTAAAATAGTTTATTGTTTCCAAGTCCTGTGAGCAGGAACAAGCTTTGGTTGTGAAATTTTTTGACAGTTGCTGATGTAGAACTTGCATTCATTTAGAGAGAACCTCCAAAAATGATCATAACTATGAGCTTCTCCTCTCTGCATTCTCTTGCCACATAAGCTGTCTGCTCAAAAGAAGCATAGCAAGAGAGTGCAGAGAGGAAAAGCTTTCATCAACCTCTGCCTGGCATGCACCGGATTCGTGTGGTGAGTCTCACAGGCAAAGCAGGAGAGCAGGGAAACCAGCTTGGGTGCTGCTTGCACTACTACTCCTCTCCATTACAGGACTGGTCATCTCAGGACTAAGCTTTTTGGGTCATAAGAAATGACCCTCCGACACCTATTTGGTATGGCTCAGCTGTATCCATCCATTACCAAACATTGTCTATCCTGCATTCCTTATGAAACTATGGAGGTTCCAAGCAATGGTATGGCTCAGTACCACTTCACCTCTCTCTCTCTCTCTCTCTCTCTCTCTCTCTCTCTTCTTCCTTTTCAGGTCACTAAAGATTTGCTGGTACCAGCACTTGCATCAAGAGAGTGATCAAATTGCCGCCACACATTATTCCATTCCACTGCCAAACCACACCATCAATACCTTCTTTTGCTAAGATTCTGTCCTTTGTGCTGCTGATGTGCTGTTCCCCGGTCCAATAGGATTGGCTCACCATGGATAAGCCATGGAAGCACTTCTGCTTTTGACTCATCTGCAGTATCAAAGTCTAGTGTGTGTGTATATATATACATATATATATATACACATATATATATAATATAATATAATATCTTGTCGGTGGCTGTGATGTCTTGGATACGTATACATCTGGTGCATGCATCACCATCTTCTCGGAAAGCTTTTCTAGCCTGCTTTAGTGGATATATAATTGTATGCTAATGAGGTTTTTATAATGCTTACATGCTCAGTGGGTTGGAGGTCACTGCAGGCTCATCACACTAATGCAACAGATGTTGGCCTCGATGCACTAAGAATGTGGAAGATAAAGCTTGATTGGCCTTCTTAAACAAATGAGATGCCCTCAAATTGTTGGAGTAAACAATCCATCGGCGTCGTCAGTCACTCTTTTTCTGTGTCACGATTGCGACGTCGAGTGCTTCTAGCCTGCGATGATTGCTGCACGCTTTCGTTGTTTAAATCGATGACAATTCATTCCACCCTTGATAACTTGGAAGGCTACAGGAAGAAGGCCACCTTCCGAGTTCTTGAATGCGGCTGACTAAAAGCGTATGATTCTTATAGCCTTTCTCAAATAAAAAAGATGGGGGAAAATGGTGTTCTTATTCTACAGTCACAGATTTCTGACAAAACCAGCAGACGATCTACAAGAAGAACCATCTCAAGCTTACTTTTGTTTAGATATTGATAGTGAAATCGACGTCGATCCAAACTATAGAGATA